TTCAAATGGCAGGCGCTATGATAGGTATCATTAGCCCTTTAGTTGACTTCCGGCTTCACAGAAAAGAGGAGGAACATCAAAGTGGCAAAAAGTCGAGAGGGGGACAGAATAATGATTCACAGACGTAAAAGAGACAGACGGACACAAAGATAGAAAAAAGGTGAAGTGAGTACCGTGAATTAGTTGAATATGAAATGCAGTGGGGTCTTGGTAGTTTGAAGTCAGAAGTCAACTGCCGATTAATAGACTTTTTTGCCGTATAAGTATACGTTGCCCAGGGTGCACCACGCGGAGGTAAGTCTATCGCGCACCCCTGGTTCCAAAAAATAGTTTCATCAATTGGAATTTTCTGTTTAACCGCCCTGGAAGGATTTTCGGAAAACCATGATCAATGTGTATTAGGTACTTTGAGGTAAGCTAGCGAAAATAGGTATTTTCAACTATGGGGAAAGCTGAAGTCAAAGTTTAAGGGCTATTGATAAAGTCTCCCATTTGAAAAAAAGTATTTTCAGCTGATTTTTATTTTTAGGTGCTAAAATACAACAACAAGTTCAGTATTTATAAATGCTAAAATGTAAGAGATAATGCACTTTACTCTTTTACTTGTGCCTACCCAGTTAACTTTAATGTTTACGATTTCAAAGGTTCAGCAAATTCCTCACCGCTAAAACTTTTACGACCCTCACCGTTGTTGTTCTTATGTTTAATAATTATCGAGTAAATAGTGATGATGATGATGTCTCTTTTTAGCAGTATTGTAGAGTCTTCATAAAAAATAATTCAATTTCTACGATTTTCTGATCAGGTTAATTAGTTATCTGTTTACTCAAATATAATAGAACATTGAAGATATTGCCAAGGCATTGTTATACTAATTTGATCAATGTAAAGTGAAGATTGATGCTTTCACTCTATCTCTATGAAATAGATGAGAATTCACCATCAGAACATAAACCAAAAAAATTTGCCTTAAACTCCCTTACTGTAACTTTCTTCATGCTAACATATTCTCTCTGGGAACTTTGAATGATTCATTGTGCCCGAAATATCAGTCTCGTGAGCGTTTACTTTTTACCTCCATGCAACTGACATAAAATAAAAGGTCCGATGAACAACAGCCGGTTGTAAATGTTATCAACAAGATAAATTTTAAGGCATTGCACTAGCCCTTTATAAACCAATAAAATGGGTGTATCGTTGGCCAATACACAGGCCAGAAAACTCTCTGCATAGTTCCATTGGTGCATGTGAAGTTGCGCGTCATTTGAATGCGTCATCTAGCTTGTGTAAGCGGAGAAGGTGGGTGTGTGGTACGATCCAGCTTGTGCCGTGGACTTTATGTTCCTCCTCCTTAAATCACAGAAGGCCGGTAGCTGACGCCAATCCTGCATATGATCGTGAAAACTTGCTTGTGATAAAAGGCCACCAATACACGGGTTCAAGCCGCTTCCTTCGCCACTGCAAGCATGCGAGTGCTTCATCCACTCAGTCTAATTCTAATACTTGTTTTAAATCGCCTCCTCTGCTCCTCCTTCACTCTTCCCACGAAGTTTAAGAAACCTCCAATTAGTACCGAACAGGCCATTGTAAGTTTAAACAGGAAAAAAAACCGTATATTTATTTCAGTACCTTTTTTTCATCGGAACTTGAAACACTTTTAATTTTTTTTAGTAATTTGACTTAAATATATGTGAAAAAGAAATATTTTTACCTTTCTCTAAAATGCAAAGATAAGATAAATCATTTTCCTGTTTTCAAATTTTGTAATTAGATCGAAAGATCTCTGTAAACAAATGGCCGTCCATTAAGTGGATCGGTTTAATTTAAATATCAAAAATGGGATTTTATTTCATAAATAACCTTTTTGCTATTTAAATGAAATTGGTTCAAATACGCCACTGGGTTTCAATTTAGCGTTTATTGCACAAATATGGTTATTTGAATCCACCGGAAAGAATCAACTCTGGAGACCCGATTCCTTCTGGACTTAGCATCTTTTCAAGAAGAGTACAATCTGATATAATGGCGATGACAAATCCGAATAAACTCTACCGTGAGGCAATCGAGACGTTCCAGAAACGATATGCTCTCCCCGTTACCGGGAGGTTAGATGGTAGAACTCTCGAGTTGCTCTCTTCTCCCAGATGTGGAAACCCTGATATTAAAAAAAGTGAGAGTTCCAGCCAATCGGAGCAAAGGTCAGAGGGTCTTCGAAGGACGAAAAGGTATCTTATCGGTGACCTCAAAATGCGGTGGACTAAAAAGAAGTTAACTTGGCAGTAAGTCAGCTGTTAGACTAATAAAATGTGTATATCCTCGATTTGATGGCGTATACTATCTCGCATTCCATTGAAAGGTCGAGTGTGAATTAGCATGCTAGCATAACAAATGTCCCAGTGATCAATTTCTAGGTTGCACTAATCGCTAAGTATCGATTTTTATATTATTCAAGTGTCCATTGATTTACGTGATTTATCAATCCCTCAAAAAAAGCTAAAATAAATTAACACCCATTAACATTTATTTAAATTATTCTTTGACTCCTCCAAAGGATTATTGCTTAACAAGAAGCAAGTTTATACTTCAAAAGTTGGGAAGTTATTTGCTTCTAAGGCCTCGGAAAACATTTCTAACACACATCTTGATTTTAATTTAGGGAAGCTAAGTCACTTTGGAATTTCAAATTTTATCCTACCAAGTCGTTGGCAAGGTTAGATATTAGTGTTTTATTATCTTTGATATGGGTCAATTAATTTAAGTTTTTACGTATGGGGTGTTTTAAGTTAGCGGGGATAAAGTTTCCATTAACGGCATCTTTTTCTCTAAGACCGGAAGTAAAGAAGTTTTTTATTAAATTCAAGATGATTGCTTTATATAAATATATTTTCAAGTAATTAGCAAAACGTGAATTACATGGCACGAAATTTTCATCACAAAACTACCAAATATGATGAAAATAATTGCTAGAACAAAGACATTTTAATAGATACATAACTCCGCTTACATTATAAATGAAAAAATCATGGGTTTCGGAAAGACTGGAAGAAAATATGTGTTAAAGCCTCACCCCGATTCCTGGAAAGTTTTTTTGTTTATTTTCATATTATTTTCGCCTCATTTATACAATTTAGTAATAGTTCATTCACGTCTCGTGGAATGGTCTATAGCCTAAAGACACAAACTCTGAATTCAGAGATATTGTCACGGTTATGCAATTAGCATGTCTATCATACATTTTTGATCGTCTTCCAGAATAATTTTATTTGATTGTGAAAATACTAGTAAGTGCTCTCTTTAAGAATTAAACATCACCATTTGTCATACGCACTCATAAAGTTGCTATATCCTCACAATCATGAAAATTGCACTTAATAAGAACCAAGTTCTGAGTGAATATATCAATATTTAACATAGGTACTGATAAAATTATTCCAGACATTTGTAGAGAGGAATAACACTATCAGCCGAAGTGTAATTAAAAGTCATAAAATCAGCCACTTGGCTGAGAGCTAGTCTCGCTAAGCCCCTATATACAAACTGAAGTGTCTTGTATCACTTTCTGGAATCGGTAACTAGACTTAGACATGAATAAATTATTGAGAGAAGTGAATCAGACATAAATTTTAATAGTTGATTTTCTGATCACGTTTTAGAATACAGAGTTACCCAACACATCACCTGAATCGGTCTCAAACCCACGCTGTCTTCCAACACGCTTTCAACAAGTGGTCTAGTGTGGCAGATTTGGACTTCGTAGAAGAAAAGAATTACTACAAAGATGCTGATATTATCATTAAATTTGGGTCACGAAAACACGGCGATTCAATTGCATTTGATGGACCAGGTATGTCATACAACTTAAGATAATGAGTTAATCTAATGCGACTACCTTTTCAAGAATTTTTATTGGCTGCCAACATTAAACATATTTCGGCCAATGGAAATGACTCATTAATGTGCGTGTCATGAAAAAGGAATTTGAGAGAGAGGGAGAGAGAAATGTCCATACTTCTGCAGACTTAATTTGAAGTCAAGTTGGGATTGGTCTCCTTACACGTGTGTTGCTAAATAGGTACTCGGTCTGAAAGCACTTTAAAAGTGGCTTCTTGTAAATGACGCCATTTCTGTGCACGACACTTAACATTAGTTAATAAAGTTTCGTCCAAAGAGTCGTGATGAATTCGTTAAACTAGCATTAGCTCGCCTCGATGAGGTTCGGATAATCATTTAATATGCCTATCACCAACAGATCCGAATTTGCATAATGAATATACTCATCTATTTAGGGCATATATGTGCACAATGTTTTCACTTACCTCCAAGCCATTATTTTCTCCTCATAGGAGGGGTTCTGGCTCACGCTTTCTACCCGATGCCGGAGCCTGTCTATTCACTGGCTGGAGATGCCCACTTTGACGACGAGGAGGCTTGGTGGGATGGACCACATAAAGGTGAGTTCGTGTCTTACGAACTTCACTCATAGTTAATGTTGTGAGGCCAAAACCTACCGGCTTAATTTGGTATGTCATAAAGCTGATGCTTTGCTCTCAGGCACTGAAAATAACCAAGCAGTTAAAACTTATAAGCCATTGAATGTTCAACATTTGTTGCATTATTACTCGAAGTCGGTTCAACAAAACTCCACCCAAATTCAAATGTTTTAAGTGTAATAAATACATAAGGATCAAGTGCTTTAAAAGTGCAACTCTCAAATCCTATACTTTGCATAAAAACCCACAACTAAGGCAGTCAAACTGATGAACTGATAAGTGCAACGTGTATCTGAATCTGGAATTTGGCAATTGCAAAATAAATTTAAATTTGAAAGTTAAAAAAATGCATGAACGTATTGACGAAAAGATGTGGAAGTTGGTGGTACTGCACAGTATTGAACGAATTGTTTAATGGGCCATTGTCAAATGATGTAAAATAAATCAATATAAAAATGGAAATATGCATCGCAGAATTCAAGCAAATCTCTTAATATATGTGATATATAAAGTAAGGAGAAAAATCTGAACGATATTGAAGAAGCATATTTGAATAAACTTACCATAAAAATGTGATTTTAGGGAAAAGTACAAATTATATTGGTTTTCTATATGTTGGCATTTTGATGGTAAGAATAATGATAAGTTGAAATTTCCTACGACCAACTTAATTTTCTTCAATTCTCCCCAAAAGTGTATCGAGATTTGCTGTCAGTGGCTACTCATGAACTGGGGCACAGTATGGGGTTGGGCCATTCTTCAGTTCAGACCTCTATCATGTATCCCTACTACATGAGCAATTGGAAACGCGTGGAGCTTGACAAAGACGATATTGCTGGGATGCAGAAGATATATGGTGAGTTTTGCCCCCCAAATCGTCTTGATTCAAAGCACTGGCTTCTATGAATTGGTGTTTTACCCCTTCAGGTGCTCCTAAGCCCGGCAAGAAACTTCCTGATATTCCCGACCTACCAGATATTCCCTCTATTCGTAAGTTGGAGAACCCTTTATCTTAAACGGGAAATATTTCAATAATTTAGTGCTTCAAATGTCATATTTGTAGTTGACCTGTAATAACACTTTCCATATTTTACGGTAATGATTTTTGTCGCTTGTTTCAAGTAATTAACACCGTTTTCTATTTTTAATTAATGTTTCATTTAAGGGTATTTACTTTAAGTAATTTAAAAGCGAAAGGGGCAATTTTTAGTAAACTTGATGGTTACTCTATAATTATAATTACATTTAAAATTTTTATTCAATATGTACAATATAAATTATTTTCAAGAGTGAACGTTAAAAGGTCGATGTGAAAATTCAGAGAATATTATAGGTGTCATCAACTTGATCATAAGGCAGTATGAAAATATGGCATTGGCAGATGTAGGTATAGCTTAGAATACCGATTTGAAAATTGATTAAAAATGTAGAAATTGAAAAATTTGCTCCTCATATTTTTGCTTTAGGATCTTCATGACTTGAGATAGTTATTGAAAGGCCGTTAAGTTAGAGCTTATAAATGAAATAAAGCGGATGTAAAATGCCCCATACACTTTTTCGTAAAGGAGAAATCTCCAAATTTTTGCTTCTGGTGTTCTTGTACTTCAAAGAACCTCTTAATATTATTTAATTGCAGTTGAAATGGGTCATCCAAGTTTGGAATTTTATTGAGCTCTCAGGTGGTACAAGTTTAGTAGCAGTCAGTGGAGATTAATTTAATTCAGCTCAATGCGTTTTGCTTTTTCAATTCAGCTGAAACAACGACTGTAAAACCAGATTTGACAAAGCAGATCGACTATTGCAACACCAGTATTGATGCAATAATAGAAGTCCGTGGTCTAGAATTGTACATATTCCATGGAGAGGTAAGACCGTGTTTAATCAATATCAGTAGCTTGACCATTTCTTTGATTAGCGCTTATCTTATTTCCTTGAGTTTAGTATCAATGGCGAGTGACATGGTCCAAAACTGTGTCGAACTGGATTTCCTACCAACTGAGAGATGGACCGACAAAAATTGCCTACTACTGGAATGTACTGCCACCTGATGTCGACTATGTAGACGCGGCTATTGAAAGACCTGATTCTCTCATTTACATTTTTAGAGGTAATCAGAGAGCTATTCAAAATCAGAAGTATTATACTAAGTGCGCTAAGTAAGCTATTTTCTGAGCATTACGGAGGGATCCAACTTCGAGTTCTTTTATCGAATGAGCCAATATTCGATATATAGTTACTTAAATCGTTGATTTACTTAGCTTAGTATTAAAAGGTAATTTTTATTTATATACTAGGGGGATAGAATCTATGAACAGTTTTACGGTTGGCATAATTAATGTGTGATGGGATACACAAGTCCTGATAAGCACAAATGCGTCATTATTAGAGACAGAAATAGGTTACAAATGGTAATTTACATTTATTTTAGAAAGGTTGGTTAATCACTTGATCATTGTGTCTTTTTGTCCGTTTAGTAGCTGACCTTGAGGAGATGTTTTATTTAATTGATAATTCTTGGAATCACATATCTCTCGCTTGCTGATTTAAAACTCACTTTTCCTTTTTCTCCTTATTAAGACAATAAATTTTGGCTACTTATCGACAATAAACGACTGGCTGGCGATTGTCCAATTACAGGCCTTCCTCTGACAAAACTTGGACTTCCTGCAAGCCTAAGAAAAGTCGATGCCGTTTTCAAATGGGATGTCAACAAGGAATTCTACATATTCGCAGGTGATCAGTACTGGCTGCTAGATGTAAAAGCTTTCCCTCCATTCGGAAAAGTTGCCTCATCTCCAGATTATCCAAGGCGAATAAAAGATACTTGGCGAGGAATACCGACACCAGTCTCCTCTGCATACACTACTCTCAATGGTTAGTCACAAAAGTCTATTTAAGAGAAGTTAGATACGTATCCAACTATGATTGCTTCTTCTTTGTAGGCGAAACGTTATTCTTTCATGGATCTAATTATTATGCATTCGACAATACGGCGATGAGAGCAAGGAAAGGATACCCAAAACTTACAAGGCTAGGCATAATTGGATGCCAAGAAAATTAGATATATCAACACTCATCAAATAGCATATACAATTAGACGTTCGAAGAAAACGCAACGATTGCCTAAAGCCTACCTCCTCCGCATGTTAGGACGTACTTATTAACTTTTCTTGCTTACTTGATCAGCGTAATATATGTACCAGAATTCGCCTCATGTTCTTTGTTAAGAATGATTTGGATCCTAATATTAGCCATAAAGATTATATGTATTATTCCATTATCAGCGAAGTGATAATAATAAGCATTACGCTGTCGACCAAGGTATAAAAATATCACATTCATCAAGCAAACTCGAGAAATTGCTTAAAATATGCTCTAAACGCGAAAATTTTGAAAAAATATTCAAAATCAAGTTTTATAAATAAAAAGTCAAAAAAGCTGAATAACTGCCAATATCTAATTGAACATTTATTCATTTTATTTGAGGTAAAGGATTTTGAAGTCAGTGGTTGTCAGTACAAATGACGAACAAATTTACTACATAAAATTAATGGTCGATCTTTATAAAATAAAAACGGTTTTGAGAAGAAAAAAAATTCAACTTGCGAAATCGTTTAAAAATAAATCTTTATAGTTGTAGCTATAAATATACTTTAAACATTTGTGATCTATATGCCAAAAAATTATTTTGACTAAATTATAAATTATTCAAATTTATTAAATTTAAGTCAACCCTTTTAGAACGTTTATAATTTTATTTCTGGGGAATAAAATTAATTTCATTTGTGTGTTATAAACCATTAAAATAAAAGCACAATCCAAGGTCACAAATCGGACTCTCTTGCAAAACACTATGAATTACCGTCTAGTGAAGAATCGCAGACCATCCTCAATCCTGGTCGTATTACGCTATTTATGTCTAATGATTGTGCTAATACTTATTTCAAGGCCTTTCACTGAATATATGGTAATTCGTGCTGTGTTTGGACCTGGTTTAAACAAAGCGAACGTTAACTACACCCCAGCAGAATTTAATTATATGCGGCCAGGAAAAATCTACAATTAGAGGAGGTAAACAATTCAAGATAAAATTTTATCTTTCTTATCGCTTGATTTCTATGATACGGTCCACATATTTCTATTCAACTGTGCTAAATTAGCCCAAATAAAGTATGTTTTTTAAAGCTTTGCCTCCCTAACTTAAAGACGAGCAATATTATAAAAGAGGGTTTATTGTTTCTGCGTTTGCATCGATGAGGAACGGTTGAAGGAGAAAACTAGGAAAAATGCCTCCCACATTATTCCCAAATTCAGTCAGATTAATGTAAATGCGCTAATTGATTAAGCGTTATAATAAAGGGGAATAGAGAGTAGAAATTAGGAGACCAAGGGGAGGTTTAACAGATATCATAGTCAAATGGGATTGGAAAGCACAATCACGTCTTTTGCAAAAGCAATTTTATGGATGGCAAAGGAGGGGGAAAATATCCATACATGGGCAGCTAAAGCTAATCGAGATTTGATCAGGGTTAAATGGAGGTTGCTGTACAATATGAGTCAAAGGTGAAAACAAATCACATGTTGTATGAGACGTAGATAGGATCTAACTCATCACTGACAAAGTTGTCTCGAAGGAGGATTCGCTGTTTCTCGCCGTAGAAGTCCACTCGCACTGTGTCCCGATCGACTACAACTACAACACCGACAATAAGCTGATGTTCCCGAAGGACACTCGCGGTGATTGGATGAACCAAGTCTAATGCTTCGGATTCCTCTCCAAGTAGTTCCACTACTACGACAAGTAGATCAGACCATGTGAAGACAGCACTAAAAGTAGGCGAATTAGTGTTACAATAAAAAATACAAAAGTCATACGACAATAGGGAATTGGGCAGATGAATTTGCCCTATTTCATATAGGCCATGGGCCATTGTGGATTTACATACAATAATGCACAGAGCGCCTGGAGGATCGTATTGATGAAAGTTTGAGTCCAATAAGCTATCCACGTATAGTTAGAGCATTTTATTAAATAAGTGATAAAATATAGTTTCTGTCCACCTGAATTTCACAAAAAAATTTTCTCATGTAGTGGTAGTTAAACATTAACTTCCTTTATATTCCAAGAGCCGGGGTGTGCAACGTATATTCATACGGCAAAAAAAAGTCTATTAACTGGCAGTTGACTTCTCACTTCAAACTACCATCTCACTCTGCCATATTCGACTATTTTCACAGTACTCACCCCACCTTTGTTCTACCTTTGTGTTTGTCTCTTACATCTTTGAAACACTCTTCTGCCCCCCCCCCAGTCTCGATTTTTTTCACTTTGATGTTCCTTCCCCTCTGTGAAGCCTGAAGTCAACTAAAGGGCTAATGATAACCATCAAGACGCCTGCCATTTGATATAATAATAATAATAATATTCCAAGAGCCTAGCGATAGATATTATATGAAAAATGCGGGAAATTAGCAAATACGTAATGATCTAGTGAATTCGTTTTTTTCGGTGAAGGGAGCATAGTTAACAAAGGAAGTTGAAGTGAAAGAATGGCGAAAATGTGGACAAAAGAGAAGGATACCTACCATTCGTTAATATTCCTATGGGAGCGTAGCACGGTATTCTCAATATCCATGGGATAAAACCTCATTCCTCGAAGCATCATGCTTTCAGCTAAGCTACCGACCACAAAAACGGCGTCATGAAGATCTACGAAAGAAAATATAATGTAGTAGAGGATACAATAGGCATACAGTAGTATCTAACTGACTTCCCATTTATAAAAAACAAAAAAACCTTTCAACTTGAAGATTTGGCGACATTTCTTTTGCTAAATTTATCACAAGAGATTGAGGAGGTACAACAACAAATAAGGACACGAAGAATGGAAAAAGAAGAGGGTTCAAAGGAAAGCATTTATATCTTAAATAGATTGTCATTGAGGTCTATTGATAGAAAATAAATAAATGAGGCGAAAGCAACTCACCTCCATCAGATTGTGTAAGCTCTGTTCTTCGGACAAATCCAAGAAATCCAGTACGAGCGTAGACACGATCAGTATCTCCAGCAACAAACCGGGCTCGCAGAGGATCACTCGGGGCGTTTTCATATGCAACTCCACCTCCACCCGCAGCAGAAGAGCTTGTATTGCTGGAGAGGTCTGATCGTACAGTGGATGCGGCATGAATGGGCACTATGGAATTGATGTTGAAAGGGCCAAGGAGACGAGTGGAGTTGTGTGGAGAGGAGACCCAGATTTCGCCCAGATGCGAATCAGCACATTGACCGAGAGTATCGGGATTTGCTATAGCTACATGCACACCGGGCAAGAGCTTTGGGATGCGAAAAAGAATTAAGTGGTTAGAGAACTCAATGATCTTAACTAATGGACTGTGATCGGATTTTTTGATTCGAGGTCTGCTGACCACCTCTATCAATTTAAATGTCGTCAATACTTGACACCTCATTCATCACGAACTGCAGTTTGAAATAATGAGATTAGGGTTAAACTATTGCAAAATTGCATATTCTTCTTAGGCTCAACGACAATTCCCCTACAGACAAATAACCAGGGTAGTTAATCATTTCACTTATTTAATAAGTGCCGATAGGTTGCAAACTCATATTATTTGAAGCCACAGAGAAACCAGACAGACAAATCTCCGCACAACTTAACAGAATTAACCAGTTTACGATAGACCATTTTCCAAAATTGTGCCTGGATAAACAGTACGGCAACTCATGCAACCAACCAATTCCGATTGATTTAAGTCTGCATATAGGGGTTGTGCGATAGACTTACCTCCACGTGGTGCATCCTGGGCAACGTATACTCATACGGCGAAAAAGTCTATTTATCGGCAGTTGACTTCTGACTTCAAATTA